CCTAATGCCACCTGTGAATATCCCCTTCCTGCCCTCATTGCCCTTCTAGATAACACTGCATGATTCTTACTCCAACTTGAGAGTGACAGGATTCTTAAAATATGCCAGTCTGAGGCTCAGGAAGGGCTACAGGTCTGGCTTCTGTCCTTCCTGCTTGGGTCTGGGAAATGGGATGCCTGGGTTGGGCGTCCACTGGTCCCTCTTTGTGTCAAGTTTTCTGAAGAGGTGGAGGCAGTAGGGTGGACTGGGCTGGAGATGCTCTGGGGTTTAACAGAGAGTTAACTTTGCAGCCAGCTATGATTTGTAGGAGAGCTTAAAGGTGGCAGAGAAAATCCTTTTCTTACATTCAGCAGCCTCTCCTAATCGCTGCTTCTCCGGGTGGCCCTGCTTGGCTGACTGCAGATGCATTTTCTTCCCTCCATCCAGAGACCCAGGAGACCCAAGACAGGGTTAGTCTTCCACAGAAAGAGGAGGCTGATCCCAGCATCCAGAGCACAAGAGCTTGTAAATCAAACTGTTAGCTTAATGGCTTGGGCCATTATTCTAAAGCAGTGGGGCTGAAACCAAAAGCCAAATGAAAATATAGTCAATTTGTTCATACTTTAGTGACTGAAAGACTATGTAATGTTGGTGGGGATTGGCACTGCAGACAGGCAAGGGCTAGCAAGGATGGAGTGTCTGGCCAGAGATGAGGCTGGGATGTGTCTTGAGCAAAGCCCCTTTTCTTTCTTTCTCTCTCTGTGTGTGTGTGTGTGTGTGTGTGTGTGTGTGTGGGCCATTATTCTAAAGCAGTGGGGCTGAAACCAAAAGCCAAATGAAAATATAGTCAATTTGTTCATACTTTAGTGACTGAAAGACTATGTAATGTTGGTGGGGATTGGCACTGCAGACAGGCAAGGACTAGCAAGGATGGAGTGTCTGGCCAGAGATGAGGCTGGGATGTGCCTTGAGCAAAGCCCCTTTTCTTTCTTTCTCTCTCTCTCTGTGTGTGTGTGTGTGTGTGTGTGTGTGTGATGTGTGTGTGTGGTAGGTGTATAAGTGGGGGGTGTGTGTGTGTGTGTGGTAGGTGTATAAGTGGGGGGTGTGTGTGTGTGTGTGGTAGGTGTATAAGTGGGGGGTGTGTGTGTGTGTGTGGTAGGTGTATAAGTGTGGGGTGTGTGTGTATGTGTGTGATGTGTGTGTGTGGTAGGTGTATATGTGTGATGTGTGTGTGTGTGTGGTAGGTGTGTAAGTGTGGTGTGTGTATGTGTGTGTGTGTGTGAGGTAGGTGTGTGTATGTGATGTGTGTGTGTAATGTACGTGGTGAATGTATGGTATGCACTTGCTTGGATAATAAAATTGTCATTATAGGACCTCCCAAATATGGGGCTGCTAAGTGAACACTGTGTACCTGGGGATAATACCTCCCCAAACTTCCCCCTACTTGTCTGTGTATCTTCCTGTTTGTCAGTCTTGACACCTGTCTGTCCATCTTGTGTCAATTCAATAGCTGGTAACTCCATGGCAGCAGCAGTGGCCAAAGTTATTTTGGCTCAGTCACCACCACATCCTCAGATTCTGAACAGGACCTGGCCTGAAGGTATTCAACGGACAAATTTGTGAATGAATGAGTGAGTGGGTGGATGAGCAAATGAACTGATAGGCAATTGAGCAAGTGAACAGATGGATGGATGAATAAATGAACAGATGAATGAACGAACGAACGAACAATGGCCTCCGTCCTCGGGGCATGTACTGCCGGCTTGCTGTGAGCCAGGAGCTCTGCTTAAGTCTGCACACACATGTCCTGCCAGAGAAGTTCCTTAGCACATTTTACAGAAAAGAGTGTGAGTCTTAGACAGTCAAAGCTATTTGACAGAATAAGGTACTGCTGGACACTGGATGTTCTCTTGTACACACAGGTATCATACCAGGCCATTCTCACCCCCCTGTCACTGGCCTCCATCTTACTCCACTGTCCCCAGCACACATTGCAGACAGCATGAGAGTTCCCATAACACTGGGAACAGAGAGCGTCAGCCCAGTGGCTTTTTCTTTCATGGGGTGGGGGTGATGACTCCATATCCCCCATAGGAGAACTCAAGAAAGAGACTGAGCTATTCTCCTAATGATCTAGGGTTTTTCACTTCCAAGAGTCCTCACTCCAACCACGTGACTCCATGGCCAAGTAAGAGGAAACCATGGAGTCAGTCCTGAACAGCCCTCTCAGGCCTGAGCCTACTCTCTCCTTTTTCAATGTGAAGATTGAGGCTCCAAACTCCCAGCCTCTCAACCGGGCCCTCACAGTATGAACATCCCGGCTGGAAGGCTCCAAACCAGCTGCTGGGTAACCCTCCACCCTGGCACTGCTACCTCCTGCTAATTGCAGGACACAGAGACCAGAAAGAAGCCAGGGCTACCAGAGGCCCCTCCTGCCGGGGCCCACTACAGGGACGTGCCACTGCCTTGCTTGGCCTCTCCTCACCCTGTGGTCCAGAGGTCTTCCCAGCTTCCCTTAGGGCTGGCTGAGAGGGAGCAGAAAGTAGCCTGTCTGACACGATGACCCAGCCGCGGGGTGGCTGCCCCACCCTGCCTGCTGCTTTTCCATGTGAAAGGTGTTTAATTATTTCTGACAGAGTTCAGCCTCGACATCTGTTCATGAGCGGGGAGGGTCCATTTAGGTTATCCATCACTGTGACAGGTTCAACTTTTTTGGAAGTGCATTTTCCCATC